AAGACCAACAGAGCCAACTAACCTGGGCGCAGGGGGGCTTGCAGAGACTGAAGCACTAATCAAGGACCATGCATGAACTGAAATTAGGCCCACTGTGCGTACATGCCTGATGGGCAGCTTGGTCTTCCTGTGGGTTCCCAAGTAAAGGGAGCTGGGGGCTGTCTCTGATAAGGACTCTTTTGCATGCTTTTCTGCCACTTTTCCCTTGTGCAGCTGCCTTTCCAGGACACCGAGGAAGAGGATGCATTCAGTCCTGGTGTGACTTGATGTTCTGGGGTGGGTTGGTGGTGGGTGTGCAGCTCCCCTTTTCTGAGAGGTAGAGGAGGGGAGTTAGGGGGAAGAGGGAAGAAGGGTGGGACTGGGAGGAGAGGAGTGATGAGGCTACGATTGGGATGTAAAGCGAATGAATGAATGAATGAATGAATGAATGAATGAATGAATGAATAGGCATTCCTTGGGAATACACCAGTGGCCTTCCTTTTCTTTTTCTTTATCAATTGTTACTATGTCTTTCTTAGATTTACAGATTACTCTGAGTCCTTTTAGAGGTAATAAACCTTTCTAACCCCCCTTGAAACAATGACTCGTGAATTTTGCACACTCATACACACATTTCTGTTTTTTTAAATTTTATACTTCTCATAATGATAAACCATCAAAAAAGACTTTAATCCAGTAATGAACCTTTTCAAGATTTTCAATCCATTATTCTTCAAGTCCAAGGGTCTTTGTTTCTACTGGGAAGGTAGTCCTGAGCTATTTAAGGAAGATAGCTTAGCATGAGCCAGAATGAGTGAATCAGGAAGCAGAAATCTTCTATGGTCTCTGCTTTAGATTTCCACCTTGAGTTACTAATATGACTTTGCTTTCACAATAGATTATGACCAGGAAGTTTAAGCCATATCAACCATTTTCTGTCTATGTTGCTTTTTAAAATCACAGCAACACAGTAAATCTCTCTCTCTCTCCCACCACCAGGAGCCATGTCATCTCACTAGCCATAAGAAAGTACTCCAAAGGACTAGTAACAGCAAAGGCACGCACATTGCCCTTGGTGGCCCTCTCAGTCAGCTTGACATTGACTTAAATACATCTCCGTGACTGCTCTGTCTGTACTGACATCCTTTGGCTTTAGGCTTATTCAGTATGAGTGGTACCCAGTATTGGCAGCTAGGTAGTGCTCTGCGTCCAGACACAGGTGCTGCTCCTTTTCCAGTGTTCTAGGATATAACAGGTAGACATCTGCCCTGTATATAGAGATGTGGTCTCTTTTTCGTTGCTTTGAGATGACAGGATAGTGAATATTATCAAAGATTCAGAACTCATCTCTGAAAAGGCCATTTTATTCTCAATATACCCAGCCTTAGTGCCTATGTATGCTCTTTGGCCTATCTGGTGTGTTCTTGAATTTTAGAAAAGAAAGGAACTACTAGGGTAAGGGAACTCCACTTTATAGATGATGATAAATGACAGAATAAGTTATTAGGCTTTAAGCATTTTCATCCACTCACCTATCCACTGTCCATCCACTCACATGCATATTCATTCACCCATCCACCCATCCACCCATCCACCCATCCAACCATCCATCCATCCATCCATCCATCCATCCATCCATCCATCCATCCATCCAACAGGTTCAGATCTCCTGCTTCATGAGGGTTCTGAAGCTGTAACCTATAAAAATACTTCCACAACTTGCAGACTACTGACTCATCAGAAGAATACTGACAAATAAATGCAACTTTATAACAAAGAGACATACTCTAAATACCCTGAAGCAATGTTTTGGTTGTAGATGAAGAACGAAGAATTAGCAGAGCAAGCCATTAGGAAGTTTCAATGAGGAAAAAAAGGAGACAGGCTAGGTGTGAAGGCACCCTCAGAAAAGCAGATAAAAGTCAGGAAAACTCAAGGTAGTTTGTGGAAGTGTTTAGAGTACCAGCATGACTGGCATGATGGGCTCACACAGTGAAGGATACTAGGAGAGGCTGAATCCTCACTCTGTGGAACTTTCTTGGGGGCCAGCTTATGCTCATCTGCATGCTCTCTTAGGATGAAAAGTGGAGCTGTGTGAATTTTAAGGACAGGAGTTAAAAGGATAAAGCCACTGATTTCTCTGAGAGGCCTTCTTGGTCTCAAACACCCTGAAGCAGTGCTGCTTAGGCAAAATACTTTCTGGGTCGAGTGTAAAAGGAATGAAGTCATCCCAGCAGCGAAGGCAGCCCAAAATGGTGGGTTGTTAAATTGGGTGGAGCAAATGCAGACAGGATAATGTTCTAAACAGGGAATTTGCGGAATAGCACTACTGAAGGTCTTCCCGACAGCTTTGAGTAGGTTTTATTTATTAACTTTAACAAAATTATCAAGTATATATTTTCTACTGAGCACTGTTCCAGGCATGATTCTAATAAAATTTGTGGATTTATTTACTGATTGGCTTACTGCGTGTTTAGTACACTCCTCGGCACTGAGACAGACAGTGCCTAGAAGTGGCCTTCACTCTCCATGGAGCCTCCACTTCAGGGGTGGAGAGGCAGTGAACCCAAATGAAGACCAGGCTGTGGAGAATAGGGGGTTTGGTGGAAGCTGGGAAAGGCAAGAGACTGAAAGATATGAGTTAGTGATGTGAGAGAATGGGAGCATGGGAAAGGCAATCGTTTGTAGAAAAAAAAAAAAAAAAAACAACTAATAATAGATTGACTGGAACGAACAGAAGGGGAGTGTGTTGAAGAGAGAGAGATTCGCAGTCATGAGGTCCTATGACTCAAGAGGTGAATCCCCACAGCCAAGTGAGATAGTGGGTTTGAAATAACTAAATTTAAGAGTTTGATGGCATATTAATGTGTACCATGCATCTATTTCCTTATATAAGTTTTTTTTTTTTTTTTTTAAATCAGCCTTTAGCAGGGGCTTAGTCTTTCAGGGAAGATAATAGAAATACAGAAGCCTTGGCCAGGCTTATTCTTTCCTGCCAGCCTAGGCCTTTGTGTATTTTATTAGTTTGCTAGATGACTTGGAATTAACCAAAGTTTGTGTGACACTGACTTGGATTTGTAAGAAGAGTAAGAAAAGAAAGAGCAAGCTAAGGACTGGAGATGTGTATTTTGGGCTTATAAAAGTATAAAACTGAGGTTGGGGTGTAGTTCAGTTGGTAGCATGCTTCGTGGAACACGGAAGCCCGGGGTTTGGTCCCCAGCGCCACATAAAGAAGGTACTGTAGTCCTAGCACACCCAGAACGTGAAGGCATAAGGGTCATAAGTTCAAGGTCATCCTTGGCTATGTAGCAAGTTGAAGATCAGCCGAGGATATATGAAAGTATCTGGAACCAACCAACCATCCAATTGACTGACTAATAAAACAAAAGAAACAAACAAACAAACAAAAAAAAAACAACCAAAGAAACAAACAAAAAATAGGGGTAGGTGAGCCTTCCCAGTAGGTGAGTACAAAGGAAAATGAGAAACGGCAACGGAGCAATGAGTGGTTGCAAAGAAACCATTGGAGAGAAAGACAAGTGCTCCACAGTGACACATGAATTATTCAGTTTCAGAGGAGAACGCAGAGAGCTCAGTTTCTCTGACACTGAAATGAAGTTTCCACGAGGACAGAGACTTCGAGGTTACCTTATGCCTGGCATTATGCCCAGTGCTTAATAGGTGCTTAGTCGGTATTTGTTATTTGTTTACTGAATGAATCAATGCATCTGTGAGTCACTAACAAGAACAATTTAAGAGAATTTAAGCAGTCACTCTAAAGGCTGAATTCAAGAGGGCTGAAGCTTCAGGAACAGTGATTCTGAGAGGAGCCGTTGCTATCAAGTAAACACTAACGTTTACTCTAAAGTGTGACAGCAATGAGGTCTCTATGCCCATGCACATGCATAAATCTGCCTGGGTTTGTGTTTGCATGAGTGTGAAAGCATGGGCATTGGCGCTCTAGCCATCGTCGTGTCCTGGTGCTCTATGGCTGTCCAGGAGCTACCTCGTTCAGAGTGTGAATCTTGTGAGACGGAGTATGTTTCAGAGGGCACACAAGTCACAGTGAGCTAACTTCAGGAGACGGGGACACAGGCAAAGGCAAAAAAGATAGCAAGGCTGTGTCTCCAGGAAGCTGGATGATCCATTTGCCATGCACATATTTCAGTGATCCCTCGCCACCCCCAAGAACAGACATCAGTTCTAGAGACTGTGTAAAACTGCAAAACTCTATTTTTAAGATTTGCTGGAAGCTTTTAAATTCCAGACACACGTTTCCTTTGAGAGGATAAACCTTTGTGTCTCAAAACAGAGATGCCTGTTTGTTAGCTCTCTGGGTTCTGCGTGTTTGTTCATGAAGCCTCCAGCTTTTCTTGCATTTCGAAGTGTCATGCCTAGCTGACTGTTCCCATGGATTCCTTTACTCTTTTCACATTGTTAAGCTGGTCTGTGGGAAGCCGATTTCTCTCAGTCCGCGTGACTAGGCTCCACTACTGCTAATGGAAATCGTGCACGCGTGTGAGGAGGTACACAGACAGGGATAGAACCTACATTTAGACTTCCAGGGTCATTCTTATTTAGCCATTCTAAGAGTTCAGCATAGTCTTTCTTTGTCCCCCAAATGCTGCTTGACATTGATTGCAGGTATGGGTCTACAGTTGTGACTTTATCAGGTGTAAGCATGTCTTTCCTCTGTTTCAGCTGAGAAGTGTTGAGAGTGAAATGTTGACAGCCATTAAGAGACCACCCTGTCAAACACAGTTGCTCTGTTCCCTACAAAGACCTACTCCATAGACCTTGGTGCAGGAACCAGCATGCTGCCTGGTTTTCCTTACTGCCAACGGTGCTCACGTACTGCAATGTTTTCTTTATGTGTATGTTAATAAAATTTTGCCTGTTGTAAAAAAAAAAAAAGGAGACTTTCAATTAAATTTCTCATCGTGCTTGTTCTGTATTTCACGAAAGCCCAGAGTTCTGGAGGAACCGAGCGAGCGGACTCTGTCGACACGAGGTAGTTGGCCATGGTGTTGGCCATGGCATCTCACGATGCTCAGAACTTCTTCCAGCCTTTGTCTTCCTGGCTATCTCGAGTTTACGAAGCTCTCCAGCAAGCAGGGGATGCGTTATCCGCTTCACTGGTTCTTCTTAGCAAACACGATTCGACACTGAGTGACAAGCCAGAGCAGGACTTAGATGCTATTCAGAGTCAGGAAACCTACTTTGAAGACAAAGAGCAGGATAATGATGGGAGTCCAGAAGAGGCAACCTCCCCATTTCCTGAAGAGGACCGTTTCTCATGCTCTAACAGTGATTTACAGGACTCTGTCCGAACGGCAAGCCCCAGACTTGGTCAGCAAGCCACAGACACTGTAACGCCCCAGTGGCCCAGTCAGATCCCAGCTGGCCCAAAGCCCACACGTGTGCTTTCTTCTATCGCGGAGGAAGACCATCACTCTGAGAGGCGGAGATGTGGCTTCCAGCATGGCTTTGACACCCATCTCCCTGGCACTTTAGAAAAAGATAATGGAAAAAAGCAAGGTAAGCTGGTCAGAACCATTGTTTCTGTGCTCTTCCAGAAGCCTTTAGAGTTCCATTTTGATTTGTTTTTAAGTATCACGTTGGTTTTACTTTTTCTTTGCCACTTACATATCCCCTCATCCTGGTTTCCGATTGAGAGATACAATCCATAGGAATATTTTTGTCCTATGAAGCTTTACAAGAGCCATGTACTTCAAAATAATAGTTCTCAGCAAGTGAAAAAGCTTAAAATGAATCTGAGGGTTCTGTTTGAGAAGTCCCTGCGCACATGCCATGCTTTTTAAAATATCTTTAAAAATGTTCTCTCCCCCACCCCTTCCCTCTAGGTTAGGAATTTCTAGATGTTACTATATTATTCAGCGTGAAATCCTGTGCAAACAGCCATACTTATTGCAGAATTTGTAGTTGATAACAGTCCAAGAATACTTCTCACAACATCTTACTAGGATGTGATGTGAGATTGACAGTGGAGGGGAGGTCTCTGAGATCGGATGATCTCATTTGCTTTTAGCCCAGAATGATAAGGTCGCGGTAGTACATATGACACTTCATGTATGACACTTCATGTTGTCAGAATGAAGCACAGAGCGGGGCTCTAATAAAAGCGCCATGGATATGATACAAATGTAATTAACTCGGAAAAAAGATACTGGCATATGCTTCGGCATAAATTTCCCATGGCTCTAATCCTCTAACCTGTAGAGCCGTCACAGAGACAGAAGCAAGTGCTGGGCAGAGGTGAGGGGTTGGGACATATGTGTCATGTGTACATGGAAAATCCATGGGTAGTCGATTATTCATACCCAGACAAAGTCATTAATTCCTTTCTTGTTGGAGGGAACCAGCGTTTCTGGGATACCATATTGTCTCTTTATTCATTTTCAAAGATTCTTCCTGGTGTCACCCTTTTAGGTAAAGGCCTTACCAGACAGACAATGGGATCTCGGTGTTTAAGGAAACAGAGTATCGTATTCTCTTTACAGTACTTTCTTCTCTCTCTGCATGAGCCTGTGTGAGTGTGTGTTGCTATGTGCATGCGTGTTGTGTGCGTGTGGAGAAATCCAGATACTGAGTGCCTTGCTCAGTTGCTCTCTACCTTCTTTTCTGAAACATGCTCCCTCACCGAACATGGAGCTCATCTGTTCAGCTAGACTGGCTGATCAGCAGGTCCCTCGAATCCTCCTATCACTGCCCACCCAATACTAGAATTATAAACACACACTGTACTGTGCTTTTTACATGGGCCCTGGGAATCCAGACTCAGGTCATCATGCCCCCATAGCTAGCAGCTTATTGGTTGAGCCCTTCCCCACCCCCTACAATGCGTTCTTAATTCTTGCCTAAATTCAGCTCTATTCTCTATTTGAAATTGATGTGAGTTTGTCTTAATAGATGCTAAACAGTGACTTTTTGGGGTCAAATTGCATAACTGTAAAGTATGAATGCAAACATTAATTAAGCTCAGCCTTCAAGCCGGACAGTGGAGGATGGCATGGTGTCGCTTCCCCTCTGTACCTACAATGGTGAGCCCCACAGTAGCCTTGAGGTAGGCCTCAGCAGGTGAGCTGATCCCCTCTGAGGCGCGGCTACTCCCGTGTTTGTAGTTGCGGGACATAGCCTTTGCTCCTCATTTGGGAAGTTGCAGAGTTGAGGTAGTCTGATCTTAAAACACACAATGTTGTTTATTCCCTATTAGAAGCATGATTTACAGGAGATGAAGTTTACCTGGGTCTACTGTGTTGTTACTATTTAGAACATCTTATAACCAAGGCCACAAGTCAGATACAGGGCCCTTTTCCCATCTCAGAGAAGGCCCCCACGTCTCCCGGCAGGCGCGCCTTCTCTCTCCCTCATCAAAATGGCAGACACAAGTTGATGCATTTTTTTTTTTCCTGGCTCCGTTACTTAGTGCTTTTAGAATGCCATCCAAGTGAAAAGATGGAGTTTGTGTCCTTTCAAAGCTGGCTTCTTTGAGACTTGCCCATCTTACTGGCCATTTGTATTGCTGAATCCTCTTCTACTGGATGCACACACGAGTGTGTTAATTGGTTTGTCCACTGGGGGATAGTTCACTTGTCCCTAGTTTTATTTTGCTCCAAGAATCGAACTCATACACTCTTTTTTCTTGTCTAACTCTCAGTTAGCATGTTAACCAAGAGTGGTGGGAGAGGGTATTCTTGTCTTAGTCCTTAAGTTGGTATAGAGCTTTCATGGCTAGACACAGGTTAAAGAAGTTCCCATCTGTACCAGATGGCCAGATGTTTGTGAAAAGAGAATATTGAGTTTGGTTAAACAGATTTTTTTTTTTCCAAACTGAAATGTCCACACGAGCCTTCGGGTTTGCTGCGCTGCAGTGGATTGAGCTGTTGAAGTAGGCCGGTGCAGCTTACAGAACATCCCAGAGTTGTGCCATGTTATGTCTTCCTACATCGATGAACTTGACCGGCTAGTGCTTTGCTGAGGGCCTTTCCATGTATTGTCATCAGAGGTTTTGATGTGACGTTGTCTTTTGGGGTACTGTGGATGAAACCCAGAGCCTTGAACGTAATCAACTTCATTCAAATCAGTCAATTTGATTCAAATCAAAATAATTCAACAAATATCTCTTTAAAAACTGAAAAGGTGAATTGTCACTGCAACATGCTTGCAGAAATGAAAGGAACATTGGACATACACTCTCCATCTTCTGGGTTTGCAGTTAAAATGAGAAGCAGAGATAAACACGGATATGCACGCAGGTATACAAAGACACAGCGTAAATACTTACTGAGACTTAAATGTGCTTTGGAGTGGTATGCCAGGACAAACAAATCCCGATCCGGTCCACGGGGGTCTGAGAAGGCCACATATACTTGGCAATCTATAGTAGAGAACACTGAAGGCACACTGATTGTTTTCAACAATGGTGGAAAACATCAGGCTCTGCACACAAACGGTGACAATGCCAGTACAGCACCAGCTGTAAAGCCTGGGGAGGAGGGCTGGAGCTGTCTGGGATTTCTCAAGGCTAGAATGAATGTTCCACAGTGCACACAGAGAACCATCGTGCTCAGACATTCTGCAGAGGCTTTTCATTAATACTGCAAAAGGTGTCTGAACTGTGACATGTTCTCTTGCTAAGCTAGGGAGCTACTGTGACAGCTCAAATTTTGTTTTCTTTCTTTTATTGAAAATAGATTTTTTTTTCATACAATATACTCTTGCTTATGGTTTTGCCCCTTCCTATACCTCCCATTTCTTCCCCACTTCTTTCCATCTGGATCCACAAACAAGCCTTTAAGAAATAATAATAAAATAAGAGAAACAAAAACCAAACAAATCAGCATATGACAAAACAATAAAATAAGAAAAAGAACAAAAGAAAAAAAACCATAAGAAATGTATATGGATGCAGAGATACATGCATTTGCAAACTCATGAGTCCCATAAAAAAAACCCACACAAACTGGAAGCTATAATATACATGAGGAGTACCTGTGAGGTAGAGAAAAATCAAAGTAAAACAAAGCAAAACAAAACTAACAACAAAAAAATCTCTACCCTAATCTAACATTAAACGAGACAAAGAGCTTCCAAAGATACCATTGATTTTGTTTTGTTTTGGCCATCTGCTGCTGGGTATGGGTCTTTAAGAGTAGTGAAATCCCCTAGGAGAAAACTAAGTTTTCATTTACAAGTGGCTATCAATTTGGAGATAGTTTCTGGATTCAGGGTGGACTGTGTGTCCCCACTTCTCCTTTCTGCTCTGGGACCTTAACTGGTATAGGTCCGTGCAGGCCTTGTGCGTGCTGGCACAGTCTCTGTAAGTTCTTACGGGCACTGGTCCTGTTTGTCTAGCAGATCTTGACTCTCCAGTGTCCTCCATATCCTCTACCTCCTCTTCTGCAGGGTTCCTGGAGCCCTTGGGGGGGACTTTATGGAGATGCTGCTTTTAGGGCTGATTGGTCCAAGGTCTCTTACTCTCACTATGGTCTCTGTAGTTGTGCCCATCTGCTGCAGGAGGAAGGTTCTCTGATGATAGCTGAGAAAAGTTCTGATATACGAGGTATAGCAGAATGTCGTTAAATGTTATTTTCATTGCTATGTTCCTTTAGCAGCAGAACAGTGGTATTTTAGATTTTCCTGAGGTCCCTGGCCTATCTAGACTCAGATTGTTAGTCACTCAAGCAGCATTGGGTATGTGTTCCATGTCATGGAGTGGTCCATACCTTAAATCAGGTGTTGGTTGGTTGCTCTTACAAAGCTGTGTGCCATTATTGTACTGGTGTATCTTTCAGGCTGGTCCCTCATATATATCGGATTCTCTTTTGGTACAGCACAGAGTGTCTTCCGGTACCATGAACATTAGTTTGTGGGGGTGAAGGCTCTAGGTAGAGACCAGCTTGACTCCTTCATGTTCAATGAATTGTATAGGTGTTTCAATGCCCACTCTTGATATGTCGCTATCTGATTTTACTATTTGTGTGACACTAACTTCAAGAAATGAATTCAGAAGTGTTTGTCCCTCCTTATAGTTCAGAAAAAAAATGTTTGGATTTATTACTTGTTAGTGTTCAATAGATTATTTTTTAACCAAGGGCTTTATTTACTTGTTTGTGTTGTATGTGTGAGAGAGAGGTGGGTGGGGGAAGGCAGATAGACAGACAGAAGGAGGGGGTGGGAAAGCAAGAGAGAGCAAGAATGACGTCAGAGGACACCCTGGGAGAATCCATTCTCTCCTTCCCTGGATGGGACCCAGAGATGGTTGGTAGCAAGCATTTTTACCCATTGTTCTATCTCAGAGGCCTCTAATTAAGGCTTTTGAGCCTGGACTTCTTGTGTTGGGAAGGTTTTAGAATAAGAATTCAAGTAATAGGTATCAGATTATCTTGATTTTATTTTCTTAAGCAATTTTTGGCATTTTGTGTTTTTCAAGGATATTTTCACCTATACTATTGAATTCATGTTATGCTATTTTTTTTTTTTAAATTACCTGATGTTTTTAGGTTTTAAAGTGACAT